ATTATTCACTTTCTATTATTATAATCTTTCGGCGCGACTGTCAAGTTCGAACTAATGTCGAAAGTGGTGCACGGTTGTCGTTATAGACTAAGGTTCCGATACGAAAAACTTATCTCCATTTAAAGGAGTATCATTTTACACTTATAGGGTCTTATACAGGCGTCGCCTGTCTCGCTAAAAGCGCCACAATAAAATTTAAGGTGAGATAACGTCTTGGTGAGCGAGAGTCACCGCTCGAGTGCAAAGGGTTAATAATACAATTCAGTATGGTACGTCTTAAAACACAGTACAACACAAAGACCCGCGAAAGCCACTATAGTGACGCGTCGTACTGAGAGATGACATCCGCGAAAGAAACTATAGTGGCGCATAGTGCCTAAGAGGTTAAAAACCATGTCTCACTTTGTATTTTACCAAAGGAAAATGTTTAGAAACATCTCCAAAATCACACCTTTCCGTCTCTAACACTTTTCCTGGAACATCCTGTATAGTCTATACATTCTTAAGGAAGGAGAGAGTCGCACAGACCATACTAATCTAACATTTAGTGTTAGCCTCGGAAATATAGGACATAGTTCTTTATTACATGTCTTAAACTTATAGCAGAGATCTTACGTCTCATACGACCTCCATTTTTCATTCTTGATTTTCGGTGTTTTATTGTTTGTCACAAAGAATCGGATTACCTTTGGCATTATAAGAATTCGCGTTACATGCAAATGCTGTATTCTCAAGTGAATTGGAAACATTTTTTGCCTCGCCGTGACAAGCAGCCAATTAATTACTTCGTTGCTTGACAGATGAAAAATTCCATCGTTTACATTAATCAATGAACAAGTTACTTTAAACGGCACCACACACCTCGCTATCGCTCGTTACCTCGAGGACCAGTTTAACTCCACTGTAATTTATTCATTGAAATCCTCGAGTCGCATTGCGAGAAATTCACCGGATCGACGAAACGATTTTCGCGGAACGCGTTTAACCGGAAGCTGAAAGACTTTCGCGACCGATCAGAGGCCCAGTTGTCACGGGCGAGTGCGATTCATTTTTTTTCACAAATTAGCATAACTCGCCCACCAACGCGTCGTCGTTTCAGATATCGACGAGTGCGTGACGGAGAAGCCCTGCGACCAACTCTGCAGGAATCTACCCGGAACCTACGAATGCCACTGCAGGCCCGGCTTTCAGCTACAAAGGGACGGCCAGTCCTGTCGAAAGAATGGTGAGCGAACGTCGGATAAATTATCACGAACGCTTCTCAGAATCCCCTTTCCGAGATTCCTCGACGTTGATTAATGTCCCATCGAAAACCACATGGAACATCGTTTTGGAAACCATGTATCCCAATTCATGTTTGTTGTTTTTATTTTTAAGCCAACATTATTTTTATCGAGCAGCCAGATTTTAAAGTATGTCTTCCATTAATCTTAGGGTTGAAGCATACTAATCGTTTTGGTCTCGGTTCTTTAAAAGTGTATTCGAATTTTTCTTGTGTTATGCATACACTTTCTCTCGCTTCGCTCGCTGAAAAGGTTGAACCACCTTCTGCTTTTTAGACGAAACAAATATTTTCACAGATATGCAGATGTTCTCTTGAAAATATCGCACTTATATTAATGTTATACTGTATTAAGGATGTACAGGCTATATACTTAAACAATGC